AATGGAGATGTAGCGTCCTGTTATATTTATTTTTTGTTTATTTCAGGTACTTATATAGCGTTGTCAATTTTACTATTTTATATGTAGTGCTTTTTACATATATAGTACATTCACATAAGTCCCTAACCCTCAAGAGGTGTACAATCTAGGGTCCCTAACTCACAGTCATACATTACACATACTAGGGCCAATTTAGATAGGAGCCAATTCTCCTACCAACATGACTTTGGAGTGTGGGAGGAAACCGGAGTACCCGAAGGAAACCCACACAAGCACAGGAGAACATGTGAACTCCAGGCAGTGATGCCATGGTTGGGATTTGCATCAGCAACCCTAGTACTGTTAGGCAGAAGAGCCGCATTCTAAAATAGAACACTACAAGTCAATAAGAAGTGTTATAATCAAAATATGTCTTCCATGTCATGACTAGAAATGTTTGTGATTATGATATGTAATGTTAACAGATAAATGTAAGAAGATTAATCAATGTAAAATTATCAATGCCAAAATAATGATACTGCATTTCTGTTACAGGAAATGACCTAAGAGTAACTGTTAAAGGAAGAAAGTTGAAATATTTCTAAACCTTTCAGATGATAATACATTTTCCAAGAAGGAAATTTATTCTGGAAGAAGCTTTGCAACAAGAATTTCATTCATCATTGTTTTTGTTGTTCTTTTTATGTTCAATAAAGTTATTTTAACTTTACAGAGCGCTAGAAGAAGACAAGACATCTCAAGGCATCTCATAGAGAGGAAGAACTTATAAAACAATTGACTTTTGACTACTGATGAAATAATTCATTTCATCAGATATATTGGTTTTGTTTTTGTGTGTACATTTTATTTTGACATAATATGTTTATCATATTAAGATGAGATCAGTTTTCACATGAACATTTGCAATCACACACTATGTTATTTTCAGAAATGAAAGGGTTAAACTTTTGTTACAACAGAGTCACGCTAATTAGTCAGAACATCTGTTGTTAATTAAGCTAGAGATAATTTTTTCTAAGGTACATATAGAAAAACTTAGGCAAACTTTACATTGTTATATGTATGTTTTTAAAAAAAAAAAATCATTTGATATACATGTATGGATTGAAGTTAGAGAACATATGTTATGTTTAAATGTTAATAAGGTATTTTGGAAAAATGTATGGATTATAGAATTGTGTGCTACACACATTTTGGAGGGAAAATATGAAACATCTATTTTTTTTGTTAAGTGACCATACATACTTTAAAGTATTGTACTATAATTGTTACAGTTATATACCATTTATTAAGGGAATGAATTATTTGGTAAAAGGAAAATAATAAGGGTAAAAATATTTTTATGTGATACATAACAAAAGGTTTATCAAAGAATTTGTTTTCCCATTATAGAATCAAATTAAAGATATGTGCAGATCAATTATCTTAAGATCCAAAAACGCATGAATGGATACGAAAGTGACGAGAATGTGTATAAATGGATTAAGATAAGGGAAAATGATTAAGATTCGATAAAATCGATCATTTTGAGAGGGAAATGTTAGAAGCTTACCATAACCTAATATCTAATATCTTCTTATTAACAGTACTAACATAAGTATGAATGAGTTGGATCTTAATAGAATAGTTGAGTTATTAATATTTATATTTGTTCTAGAATGGGAAAAGTAAGGAATTAGACTTCATAGTCTGTGAATATACATATCTTGGGTTTTTCCTTTACATTCAAGCCACATATGAGAGCAATTAGCTATACCTTCCCCCATCCTCCCCCATCTATGTAAGAGATGATATGTTTCACTAACTAGTGAATTGTTTGGTTTACAAGGTTTATACTGTAATATTTCTTGATTAACGATATTTATATACGAATAAACTCTTAGTAAGATTACTTTTAGGAGAAATATATATATGTATGTATGTGTTATACATCTAATGTATTCTGATTGATGGAATGTCCCTAGGCCTTCTTAGGTTATACGCTCAGAATTTAGGAGAAGTAGGACTGGAAGTTTGTAATATATACACATCTGTTTCCAATTATCTTAGTGGGACTACAAGAGAATACCAACCCACTTTTAGGGAGATTTGGGGGCTGGATTGCTCTTTCTAGAGCAGGACAAAGGTTTTAAAGCATACATTCTTTGGGCAGCAAGGCGAAGGGAGCTGCTTGCTCATATCTACAACACATTCATATTATACACACACAATTACATACAATTTTATTATAAAGAACTTAACTATATTTTTATTGGACATTATTTAAACATTTTGTATGCCAATATTTTATTTCTAATTTTATGCAACGTTATTAATAAATCATCTTTTTTGAGTTTTTACAAGAAGTGGAAGGACTTTTCTATTTGAACATTTCTCATCAATACAAAGTTAATAAAATATCGAGACAATACGATATTTTACAATATCATTATTGACTCAGATGATATCAGACAGCTTGCATGTCATTCACAAACACATATAAACTATACAGTCACAAGTTTGTAAGACACCTGACCATCACACCCACAAGTCTGTAGATTCCTGACCATCACAAATGCTCTTTAGTCTGAATATTAATGCCCATGATTTTGGGCAATGTCCAACAAGATCATACACACTATATAGCCACAAGTTTGTAGACACCTGACCATCAAACTTAGATAAACGTGTTGGTCATCTCATACCAAACTCATGGGCATTAATATAGAGTTGCTCTCCCTTTGTGGCTATAACACCCTCCACTCTACTGTTTGAAGACTTCCATAAGATTTTTATAATATGTCTCTGTGGGAATTTGGGCCCATTTAGCTAAAAGAGCATATGTAAGGTCAGGCATTGATTTTGGATTAGAAGACTGGCCCACAATTAGCTTTCCAATTCATCTTAAATTCTGCTAGGTGAGGTCAAGGCTCTATGCAGTTGACTCAACCTTCTCCACACTAAGACTTGTAGGGATAGCAAGGGGGGGTCTTATTGGGTTCTTCTGGGCTACAAAGCCCTGTGGACAAGATCACTTTGCCCTGCACATGGGATACCTATTCTGTGTCACGCTCATCAAAATCCCCGAGACAAGGCGGGCCCTTCTCCCTTTTTTTTCTCGTGATCCGTACCCCTGTCCCTGTTATAATAACACAGGGTCAGCGGGCCGGACCCACAAAAGCCCGCAAATGTAGCCCCGGGAAGGATGGCAAAAATGTTAACCCCTTCCCCCTGGCTAGAGCCATAACTCAGTAACCTACAGTAGGCAACCTGCCTACACACTAGTCAAACCATATCTTTAAGCAACTGGCTTAGTACACAGGGTTTCAGTCATGCTGAAAAAAAGAGCCTACCCCGTACTTTTGAAGGTTTAAAGCTCAAAACTGCCTAAAGTATCTTTGTATGCTGTATCATGAACAGTACCCTCTGATGGAGAGGGGCAGGAGAGGGTCAAACTAGGATGCTGTGCAGGCAGCTGACATCTTCCTTATCAATGATGTCATTGGTTGTCAGGACGCCGGCAGCTAGAAGGTCATAATGGTGCACAATGAAAACCTGTGACTGAGTAACTAAAAGGCAGGCTTCTTCCACCCGCTGACCTGTATACAAGTTTTGGGCAATTTTTAGACATTTTGCCAAGGAACCCCTGAAGAAACCTCAAGGCACCCCAGGGTGCATGGACACCCTAGTTGAGAAAGGCTGATATAGTATATATTCCTTCCCTGCAGGTTTGCTGTAAAATGCTGGTAATTCTGAGATCTTATATACTGTATATTTTTACTTATAACAGGATATCACTTACCTTTTGGTCCAGCAGCACCGTCGATATCAAAATAAATAAACCCTAGATCAAAAAGAATACAAGTCAGCTTTCCTTATTGAGAGTTTTAGTAAAAAACAAAGGTCAGACAGTAGGGCTTGCAAAAATTTGAATATTCATTCATGGAAGCATATAGCCAGTTTGTATATATTGCATTTATTATGTTCAGGTTTTGAGATGTTTTTTTAATTTTAGTCTGCTAAATATACTGTACAGTATAATGCTTCAACAGAAACTTTGTCTATTCCAGTCAGCAGGTGAAGCTCTTGGCTCCTTTTCACAAATTCACAAGTCTAATCTTACAGCAGTATTAAACTAAAAAAAAAATGTAATATATTGCAGCTTACAATCATTAGATGTGATGGCTGCATTCAGTTTTTTTTTGTTTTTTTTTTCCTTCCGTTTTTCCCCTGGTGATCTGGCCAGTAACATACTTCTCGTATTAGAGTGCCTTCACTCTGGATGAAGGAGCACAGGGGGCACCTCTGGAAAGCATAATTGTTAATTTTGGGGGGGGGGAGTGTTAGAAATACTAGCAGATTTAGATACACTACCAAATTTAAGCCAAACTCTAGCTAACACTTTATAAGTAGAGATGAGCGAATCGAACTTGGCGAAGTGGAATTCGTTTCGAATATTAGGAAAAATTCGATTCGCACCGAATCCGAATTTTAGCAAACTTCGGATGCACGAATCGAATTTTCCCCCGATCAGCCAGCAAAAAGTGTCCCTGCAGAGAGCTCCGCTATTTCTGACAGTTCTCTGACAGTTCCTTCACATTTACAGCGGTTGAAACATTGTATCTATTTGTTTCCATTTAGGATACAGATGTTTTTATTCGGAAACAAATAGATACAATGTTTCAACCGCTGTAAATGTGAAGGAACTGTCAGAGAACTGTCAGAAATAGCGGAGCTCTCTGCAGATACACTTTTTGCTGTACTGGAATTCTTCTTCTTTTCATTCTTCTTCTTCTTTTCATTCTTCTTCTTCTTCTTCTTTGCATTCTTCTTCTTCTTCTTTTCATTCTTCTTCTTCTTTTCATTCTTCTTCTTCTTCTTTTCATTCTTCTTTTCATTCTTCTTCTTCTTCTTTTCATTCTTCTCATTCTTCTTTTCATTCTTCTTCTTCTTTTCATTCTTCTTCTTCTTCTTTTCATTCTTCTTTTCATTCTTCTTCTTCTTCTTTTCATTCTTCTTCTTCTTCTTCTTTTCATTCTTCTTTTCATTCTTCTTCTTCTTCTTTTCATTCTACTTCTTCTTCTTTTCATTCTTCTTTTCATTCTTCTTCTTCTTCTTTTCATTCTTCTTCTTCTTCTTCTTCATTCTTCTTTTCATTCTTCTTCTTCTTCTTTTCATTCTTCTTCTTCTTCTTCTTCTTCTTTTCATTCTTCTTTTCATTCTTCTTTTCATTCTTCTTCTTCTTCTTTTCATTCTTCTTTTCATTCTTCTTCTTCTTCTTTTCATTCTTCTTTTCATTCTTCTTCTTTTCATTCTTCTTCTTCTTCTCATTCTTCTTTTCATTCTTCTTCTCATTCTTCTTTTCATTCTCCTCATTCTTCTTCTCATTCTTCTTCTTCTTCTTTTCATTCTTCTTCTTCTTCTTTTCATTCTTCTTCTTCTTCTTTTCATTCTTCTTTTCATTCTTCTTCTTCTTTTCATTCTTCTTCTTCTTCTTTTCATTCTTCTTCTTCTTTTCATTCTTCTTTTCATTCTTCTTCTTCTTCTTTTCATTCTTCTTCTTCTTCTTCTTTTCATTCTTCTTTTCATTCTTCTCATTCTTCTTTTCATTCTTCTTTTCATTCTTCTTTTCATTCTTCTCATACTTCTCATTCTTCTCATTCTTCTTTTCATTCTTCTTCTTCTTCTTTTCATTCTTCTTCTTCTTTTCATTCTTCTTCTTCTTCTTTTCATTCTTCTTCTTCTTTTCATTCTTCTTCTTTTCATTCTTCTTCTTCTTCTTTTCATTCTTCTTTTCATTCTTCTTCTTCTTCTTTTCATTCTTCTTCTTTTCATTCTTCTTTTCATTCTTCTTCTTCTTCTTTTCATTCTTCTTTTCATTCTTCTTTTCATTCTTCTTTTCATTCTTCTTCTTCTTCTTTTCATTCTTCTTCTTTTCATTCTACTTCTTCTTCTCATTCTTCTTCTTCTTCTTCTTCTTCGTCGTGCCCCGTGACTGCCCAAATGAGTGAAGTGTGCGGTGATTCTAAGATGGACGGCACTCATCTGCATGTCATACTGACTGACAGTATTATTTCTCTTCCCCAGCAGACTCCAAGGGCATTTAAATTAAAGGTACAGTGTTCTGCACTAATATAAAGGCTCTCTGAAGCCTAGAAACCCTTTTAATAAGTTAAATTCGCAGCGAATAAATTCGCATCAAATCGAATTTCTTCCGCAAATTCGGCGAATCAGCCGAATCAAATTTTTGAATAATTCGCTCATCTCTATTTATAAGCAGTTAGAGCAAACATTTTTTTCCTTTTCTGATAATTTGTTTGCAAAAATTAAAAGCTGATCATTGCAAGCACCACTGACAGTGGTAAGTGGTTTATCTCAACCCTGTAACTGCTACATCTGGAGGAGAGCTTGTTATTTTGAAAAAACAACACATTGGCCAGAAGAAAGCCTAAAAAAGAAAACTAATGCAGCCATCACATCTAAAACTTGGTAAGCTGCAATATAAGAAATGCTTGCTTTTGGGTTTAATACGGCTTTAAAGGCAAAATTCACTGTTGAAGCATTCTACAGATTACATCCCTTTTAAAATTTGGCAAATAAATAATTTTTCTTCATAAATTTAAGCCAAAATGTATTCTTCTACTTAAACTAACCCAAAACAGTTTATATTATTTAGTCTGTGTGAAAGCTATAAAGTCTACAAACTATGGGATATATATCTGAAAATTGATCAGTTGAGACCCTAAAATGCTGGATGTTGGCATGGTGTATGGCGGTGGTCAGGATGCTGGTATGGGGTATGACGGTGATCAGGATGCTGGTATGGGGTATGGCAGTGATCAGGATGCTGGTATGGGGTATGGCGGCGGTCAGGATGCTGGTATGGGGTTTATGGCGGTGATCAGGATGCTTGTATGGGGTATGAAGGTGATCAGGATACTGGTATGGTGTATGGAGGTGATCACGGTGTGGTATGGGGTATGAAGGTGATCAGGAAACTGGTATGGGCTATGGTGGCGATCAGGGTGCTGGTATGACATTTGGTGGCATTAAGGTTGGTGGGGTATGGTGGTGAACAGGATGCTGGGCTCAAAGATTGAGCTCTGACCTGCTGTGCTATTGTGTTCTGAAATCCCCCCTGTCAGAACACAATAGCACAGCAGGGGAGATCGCTGTACTAACACCGCATAATTAATACAGTGGCTCCTTCTGAGGTGTCCATTTTTTTTTTTTTTTTTTCCGTTTAGCCCGCTGCAGTGTGTACTAGGCTTAACAGACATTAAGATAACTCCTGACATACTGCAGTTTTCTGCTTCTGATCCCTTGCTAAAGCATTCAATTATTTATTTACAGCTTTAAGCTCCATGTACACTGGCTTAAAAAACCCTGCTCCTAGAGGAGTTTAGCGATTTGCCTGTAGAAGCAACTAATGTTATCCTATGTATCTAATTGCATTAGGTAGTCTAGAGGGGTTTATTAAGCTCAGCATTAAGAGGCAGAAAAGAAAAGCCTTCTGTTCTGCGTTTTGAGAGTGTTTTTCTGGCAGATAAAAAACACCTAGTGCTGTTGAATGCTCCTAAACGCTAGCACAAAAAAACCCTCAAAATTATTTTTTCTGCTACAAGCACTGGCATTTTTGAGTCAGTCTGCATGGAGCCTTAGCAAATCCCTGTTTTTTAGTTGTTTGCTAAGTAATGGTATAGCAGAGTTAGCAGCCATTCCTGAATGAGATGGCAGTTCTTTTTTCGGTTTTATAGAAATGTTCACTAGCGTTAAAAGGCTATGGAAATGCACTCCTGGAATTATAGCTGTGTTCTGAGAGGGGGGCTCACAGCAGCTCTGTCGTCTAGTTAAAAAATGTCTATGTATTCTGGACAACATGGCTGTCCAGTGTCTTCTCACAGAGCTTTTGGCATAATGCTGTAGTTTTTCCTGATTGAAGTATTTTAGGAAAAATATGGTCACTGGGAGGAGAAAAGCAATCATCTGAAATCACTATATTAAGCAAACTAGAATGAATCACTGATGAGCGAATGCTTGTCCCATTCATTCAACTTTTTTTTTTTTTCATAAACAGACACCATACTGTCTTTCAGCTACTAAGTATACATAACAGTATGAAATAACATAGTGCTAGAACAGTTTATAGTTCACTTATCTCTATGGTTTTTTTTAGTTGATATTGCTATACACAATTGTTATATGTCAGGCAGTTCACATGCCAGTGATTGTCAAGCCACAAGGGCTCCAGAGTGATTACGTAAAAACTAAATAGGGGTGAAAATAAATCTTTAATATGCAAGTTGCACAATTTTCTCCTTAACAGCAACAATTACTGCATGAAGATCTGGAGCATTAGGCAGAGTTCCTAGGGCTCATGCCCAGGTCTAGCAACACCCCTGTTTGTTACATTACTGACTCTTCAGTACAAATATTATTATACAGTATTTATATAGCGCCAAAGGGTATGCTCAGCGCTGCACAGTAGCAAGGGGGACATAACATGAGACAAGACAGTAACAATACACTACACGAGGGGTTCGAGGGCCCTGCTCTTTCGAGCTTACAATCTAGGAGGGAGGGGAAGGTGGCACAGGAGGAGATGCAGACTGTGGGGGATGGAGTGGTGTGGAGGAGTGGAGGAGGTTAGTTGTTAGGTGAGGTCGGGTGTTAGGTGAGGTTGGGGTAGGCTTCCCTGAAGAGGAGGGTTTTCAGGGCGCGCCTGAAGGTGAGGAGGGTAGGTGACAGTCTGATGGATTGGGGTAGGAGTTCCAGAGGATGGGGGAAGTCTGGAGAAGTCCTGCAATCGGGCGTGGGAGGAGGAGACCAGGGAGCTAGAGAGCAGGAGGTCCTGTGAGGAGCGGAGGCACGGGTAGGGTAGTATCTGGGTATCAGGTCAGTTATGTAGTTCGGGGTGGCATTGTGAATGGCCTTGTAGTCAGGGTTAGCAGCTTGAAATTGATCCCAGGGCAATCGGGAGCCAATGAAGGGATTGGCAGAGGGGGAAGGCAGATGTGTCAGCGCTTGGTGAGGTGGATGAGTTTGGCCGCTGAGTTTAGGATCGACTGGAGTGGGGATAGCGTTTGTTTGGGTAGCCAGTGAGAAGGGAATTGCAATAGTCCAGGCGTGAGATGATGAGGGAGTGTACGAGTTGTTTGGTGGTGTCTGGGGTGAAATATCTTCTCTTTTGCCAAGTTCCTGAAGATTTTGCATAACTATCTGTGAATGTCTTAAAAGCTCTTTTATTTCAGCCAATGATTGATATAAATTTACAAGCTTTTTTTTGTGCTGTAAAGCTGCATGTTCTCTGGTTTATGAATAACTCTGCACATAATTTTGAATAAACATATTGGAAGTGTATACTATGCTTACCTGAGAAGAGTTGAGTGCTGCAAATAATCCATGGATCACTTCACTTTTAGGATTAAATATAATTCCAAGTCCCAATCCCCATGTGGTTCCTAGAAGAGGAGTGAGGACTGCCATAGTTTTAGCAATTACAATCACTGTTTTTCTGTCCTCTCTCCCAGGTTTTTCTCCAACAGTAGGTCTCATCAACTTGAAGATGACCACTATCAGGATCAAAATATTGATAAACACAATAGATAAAGCTGGCACCACAAAGGCAAGGAACGATCCCGATATATAGTCAAGCCAGCAAAGTTCTTTGCTTGTAAATATTTTTCTAGGTTCAGTTGAAGCCACGGTGATAATGGTTATCAGGAGAGGGCACATCCATAGCCCAACAGAAAAGCTATGATCATCATGGTCTTCCTACTTATGTCATGAAAGATGAAGATCATACGATAAAAGAGAATAAGTCCTGTGGTCAGCATCCAGAAAAACAAAGACAAGTAGAAGAAGAAGCTAAAAAAGGCAGCTGCTTTGCAGGCATCTGATTCTGTATCCTTTATTGCCGCACCAATGATAAACCAGATATCGGCTACCAGAAGAGTAACAGCAATATTTACCAGGCACACATGGCGTATGTAGGAGGTCTTGTTTTTTATAACTGAGGTCCACACTAAGGCCTCGATAAGCAGAGTGATCACCAAGCAGGCAAGAGATTCCAACTCCGATGTAAGTAATTATTTCCAACAATATACACTTTTCATGGTATCATAAGACTTGAGAAGGACGTCAAGTGGTTACATGAGCATACTATGAGACCATTTTCATCTGTGCTGCTACAGCCGCTGCTATTCCAAACATTCCACACCAAGTCATACCAAACACATTCAGGGTTCACTAGTGACATATTGCTCTTAGAAAAGGACATACCTATTTTAAATGTGCTGCTATTGATGTTTGAAATGGAAGTCTTACCAATGACTGTTGACATAATGAGCCCGTTGACAACCTTTTCTGCGCTCACTGGCAATGGCAAAATGTCCTTCATCGTAGCGTAAGCGATGGTGATCACCGTACTAGAGTTTTCTGGCCATATGCTCTTATCGATAAACACATCACCATTTAAATTTTGCAAGGAAAAACTCCCATTATAGTCAGTGGTTTTGTTCACAGTTTGCCCAAAAAAATGAATGTTATTGGATATGGATTTATTTTGAAAGCTGATTGTTGCCATTGAAGTTAAGATTCCAAGCAAAAGTCTCTACAGCATTTAGAACGACCGCACTTTGATTCGTCACCTTGTCCCAAGCGCTGGGCTTGTCCACCATAATATCAACTGTTGTGATAAAGCTCTAGAAAAAAGTCTGGTATTAATACTATTATAGCAAAACTCCAGGTATACACCTAAAAAAACATGCAATTAAAATACATATACAGCCACTATTTTACCTGCCCAAGGCTTTTTAATTCTGTCCAGCTACATGAGCAGGGCCATTCTTAGCCTCTTGTACTGAATTGTATTGTAACTGTACTGATTCTCTTATATTGTAAAATGCTATGCAAACTGTTGGCACTATTCAAATCCTCTATAATAGCAAAATGGGGTTTTTTTGTATGAGAATACTGTGCTGCAACCAGGAGCAGAAGAAGTCCGGAAGTGATGAAACGCATCAGGTGACGTGACGTCTGATGTAATACACATACCGGAAGTGGCGGAGTGGCCATCTTTACTATTGGAATCGGCAGTACAGCGCTCCAGGAATCTGCTCTAGACTGTGTCATGGGAA